TTACCCGTGGGAACTTCATTTTCAAGAGCTTGGTTGGACTCATGGTTTTGCATTGGAGTTGTGCTTGACTCTACTTCCTTCTTTCTCCTTTCATAAGTCTTATTCTTCCAAATACCCTCTTTTGCTTTTCGTCCTTGGTTCTGCTGAGATGTAGTTGAAATATTAATCATCTCTGATTCAGTTTGGGTGGTCCTTTCAACTGGGATGGATACTGGTTCCGCTAGTTGAGTATTAATGGTTTGGTTTGGTAACATTTGTGCAACTTCAGTGGTCCTTTCAACCGGGATGACTAGTGGTTCGTCTAGTTGAGTATCAATGATTTGGTTTGGTAACATTTGTGCAGCTTCAGGTTGAGTATTTGGGGTGTGGTCTGGTACTATTTGTGTGGGTTCGATTTCCTCAAGTGCCAAAAGTTGGTATTCTGAACTTTTAGTTGGATATAAGTGTGATTACTCCCCCTGAATGCCAACTTTGGTGTAATAAGGGTGATTTTAAAAGAAAGTGATATCCATAGTATGGTAGAATTTTTTTGTTTGGAGAGAGTAACATTTATATCCTTTTTGGTGAGGAGACTAGCCAAGAAAGATGCACTTGATGGATTTTGGATCTAGTTTACTATGGTGAGGATTGAGATTTTGTATAAACATTGAACGTCCAAATATTTTTAGTGGAACGGGAGAAAAGATCTTGTTGGTTGAGAAGAAGGTTTGAAGTGTGGAAATAGGGGTTTTAAAGTCAAGGATACGAGAAGGAATTCTGTTTATGAGATGTATTGCTGAAAAGACAGCTTCTCCCTAAATCTGTTTTGGAACATTACTGGCTAACATGATTGATCTAGTTACTTCTAAGAGGTGTCTATTCTTCCTTTCCGAAACTCCATTTTGTTGGGGGATATCCACACACGAGCTTTGGTGAACAATTCCAACCTTTTGGAGATAGGAATTTAAGAAAAGGTTATAGTACTCACGACCATTGTTGGTTATGAGTACTTGAATCTTGCTTTGAAATTGCGTTTGTACCATGCTATGAAAATTTTCAAATATTCTCCCCACTTCTAATTTTTTCTTCATTAGAAACACCCAAGTAACGCGTGTGTGGTCATCAATAAAGGTGACAAACCACCTCGAGCCAGTAATGTTGTGAACTCGAGATGGTCCCCATACATTACTATGAATTAATGAAAAGGGTTTCGATGGTTTATAGGGTTGAAGCGGGTAATAGTTGCGGGTATGTTTATACAATTGGCAAATTTCACACTGAAAATGCTTCTGGTTTTTATTAAATAATGAGGGAATAATCTTTTCCAAGTATCTAAAACTTGGGTGGCCTAATCTATAGTGCCACAACATTATAGAATTCTCACTATTTTGAACCGTTGCTGCCACATAAGAGAGCTCCTTGGATTTTTCTTTTGTTTTTTTTTTCCAACTTGTAGGAGGTAGAGTCCCGCATACTCTTCGACATTGCCAGTCGTCTTCCCCAACTCCAAAATCTGAAATTCACACGAATTAGGGAAGAATTTAGCGACACATTTCAAATCTGGTAATCTTACTAATGGACAACAAATTACAATCAATTTTTGGCACATATAGAACTGAGTCAAGAGTAATATTTTTTGAGAAATAATAATTGATCCCTTACCCATGACCTTAGAATGAGTCCCATCAGCTATCCGAACAATATAGTTATAGGGACAAGAAGAATAACTACTAAACAACGTAAAATCACCAGTCATGTGATCTGAAGCTCCTGAGTCAATGATCCATGACTTTGTTTCTTGTTTTCTAGTGTTTAGAGCAAATAGATAATTACCTTTTTTGGCAACATTAATAGTACCAATTTTTTCTGCGTATAACATAGTCTGTTGAAGGAGTTTTTCAATTTCCTCCATTTGTTCTTGGCTGAATGGAGATGAGTTAGAATTTACCTCGACTTCTCGATGGTTAAAGGTTGTGTTACCTTTTTCTTCTTTCCTTTTGAACTGATTTGCTTCCAAAGGTTTTCCATGTATCATCCAATATGTTTCTTTGGTGTGACGGGGCCTCTTGCAATGATCACACAAGGGATGAGATTTTCCATCGTGTGAGCTGGTCGGAAAAGATCCAGTCTATATTTTGAGTGATGTGTTAATTTTTGAGTCGTCCATGGTTTGACGACACTAATTTAGGGATGGTTCAGATCATGCTCTGATACCATGTAGAAATATGTTTGTATATTTCATATCTGGTTGATAATATATCAGATGTATATATAACACATATGGCTGAGAGGGATGAGCTAAATTAGTCTAGAAATTAAGGGAATCATTATTCCTATAAATGCTAAGATTAAATGTGATAAAAACAAAACAAACAACTAATTAATTTACATAAAACTACATTTATGGTATATACAAAATAGAATCTGCACAACATATTCTTTGCAAACTTTCAACAAGTGTTCTAATCGTTGTTTCAATTTTCACTTCATTGACTTTATCGTTTCCTCTTTTTGTGATATATTGTCCGAAAATTGAGTGATTTTTTTTGTTCGATTATGCATAGATAGAAAGAATTTGGACATTAAGCCCTGATGCATATTTTAATTATTAAATCTATAAATATAATTTAAAAAAATATTAATAAAAATAAAAATAGTTTAAGAAAACATAAGAAAAAATAACGAAAAATAAAATTAATAAAAATTAAAAAAAAAATTAAAAAAATAAAGAAAATACTGGGTGGACGACCACATAAGCAGATTAAAAAGAATTTTTGCTGTAATTATATATAAGAATTTACTATAGATCCATATATTTTTGTAAACGAGAAAAAATATATTATTGATCTAAATATTTTTATATACAAAAAATATATTTATGATCCGATTATTTTTTATTCAAAAATAATATATGAGAAAATAGCTCTTACTAATCTAAATAGTTTTATATACGAAAATTTAGTATCGATCCAAATATTTTTTTAAATTATATCTAAACAAAATTAATATTAGTATACGGGAAAAAATTTATTATTGATCTAAATATTTTTATATACAGAAAATAGTATTTATGATTTAAATATTTATGATCAAAAAATGGTATATAGGAAATTTTTTTATTATTAATCTAAATATTTTTATATACGAAAAAATATATTATTGATTTAAATATTTTTCTTTTTTAATTTTCTATTTAAAATAAATATATTATGCAAACAAATATGTGTACTAGATCAGAATTCGTATGTTATTATAACGCATTAGTATTTAATCTTTTACGTTAGACTATATTTTCATTCATCAAAACTTATCTATTTAATGGTGAGAAAAACAAGTATTTTAAATTTAAAAAAAAAACTTATTTGTGTATGAATACTGAATATAAAATTCCCTTATTTAAAAAAAGAAGTAAAATTAACTCATTTTCTAGGATAAAAATATATTTGACATTTATTCTATAACTTGTTGAATGAATAAAAAAGTAGTATGATTCAAAAGTACTAAAGTTAATCCATATTTTTTTCTTGGAAAGGACATTGACATATCAAATCCATTGGTTGGCAATCTCTCGTCGTGACTTGCAACTACGCGCTGTCGCCATTTGGAGTAAACAAAGTAGCCAAGTGAAATGCTTAACTAGTACACAACCACATCACTTCTTTACAAATTCTAGTGAGAAGAAATTAAAATAGGGCATTTTCTAGAAGAAGCAAAGTATTTTCTTTTAATCTTTTTAATATCTAACTTTGTGAATAAAATATGATTAATTTATAGAGTAGAAAATTACATTACATGACAATGAGGGAAGCTCCCTCTCCACAACTACATGTGGTAATGTCAATGAGTGATTTTTTCCCCTTCTTGTATCAGATTATTATTATTATTATTATTATTATTTGTTATGTATTTTGACACCTCACGCAATGTATGTGACCACATGCTTTGCTTACCAGCATTCCCAAAAAAACGTGCACATAACTAACTTTAGATAAGTGTTTATTGTAAGTCACTTTAAAGTCTTTCATCTCTCTCTCTTAATTAATTTCATTTCATCTCTCACTCAATTTGTTTCTCTCATCCTTCATTATGTGAGTTACATAAATAAAGCTGAATTTTGTAACTAGAAAAAAGTCCATATTGGTGATGGGTCCATTTTATAATAACTTGTAATAAAATGTTGTAACTTCAAAGTTATAACTATCTTTCTTGGGAGCATCAACTTTCTATGGGCAGTGACGTATATTTGATAAATATTAATAAAATATAATATATTTTTCTATTTTTATTTATTATAAAACTAACATTGCTTTAGCAAAATTCATAAATAGAAAGGATAAATGGTGATGGGTGCATGTATATCTATCTACTTGAATACAATTGCTAATCCTTTATTCTTGCCATTAATAAAAAGAGTGGGAACGAGGTGGCCAATGTGTGAGAGAGACATGAAAGAAAGATATTTTTTAGCTTTATTATTATAAAATCAAAAGCACACAAAAAGAACCTAATCTAATCCATTCACACAACTTTAGGTTGTGATTGTGGTTGTAGTGCTACCAAACCCTAGCTCCATCTCCATGACACTACACTCACTCCAACTTGATTAATTTACCCACATACACACACCTCTTTCATCTTAATTGAGTTTGCACATCACTTTCCATTTTTCCCCTCAAAGATAAAAATACAAATATGAAATTAATTTATATATAATGAAAGAAAGAAATAAAGATGCTCTATCACTCACTTTTCGTGAATGAAAGGTAAACACCACAAACACTAACCACTTACTTACTCAAAGTATACCAACTTGAACCTCAAAGTATACCAAGTTGAACAATTTTGAAGATCATATATATCAAAATATAAATAATAAACCAAAGAATAATCCAAGGAATATTGGATAATTATGAATAATTGTAAATTAAAATATTTCTATAATAATTCACATTGATAAATCATTAATAGAATATAAAGTAAAATAAAAATAAAACTTTTCCTTCGATTAACTCCACCATTGCCTAATAATGACAATCCACCAAAGCCGGAGCAGCAGACATCACCATAGATTTCTGTGTCGGAAACTGAAACTTAGCTTCCCGGATATCCTCCTCCGGCGCCGGGAGGTTAAGATCCAATTGTAAAATATTCCGTGGCGGAACTCCTCCATCAACCACCGCGACAGAAGCGGTGTTCGCCGATGATGTTCTATGTCTCCTCATATGTCCACCCAATGCTTGTCCGGATGTGAATTCCGATCCACAAATGGAACACTCATGGATCTTTGCTTTGTTTCCGTTAATACCTTTCGAAATTTGATTCCCGATATGAAATGAAATAGCTGGCCCACGAGGCTTCTCAGCTACAACTTCAAACTCATCACACTTCGCATTCGCAATCAGTAATTTAACTGATTGCGAATCATGTGATGAAGTTTGCGGCTGTGATGATTGTGACAGCGGCGATGGCGGTGGTTTTTTCACCTCAGCCATGAGTCTAGGCTTTTTGTGACTAGCCCTATGACCACCCAAAGCTTGAAAAGAAGGAAAACTTCTATTACATGTTTTGCATTCATAAACATACAAACCACCTTTTGTTTTACTCAAAGTAGCAGTTACAATTTCACCTATTTTTTTATTTCCATTACTACCCTTTTCCCTTTTGTTATCATCATCCTCATCTTCACCACCACCACCACCACCATGTTGCTTGTGATTTACTCCTTGAGCAAGGAGAATCAAACAATTAGCCATATCTTCTTCATCATCTTCAACATCAGTATTGCTTTCACCACTTGAACAACTAGATACAGTAGAAACAACACCACAAGGAGATAAAAGTCTTAACCTCTTGGTGCGTTTTCCTTTCGCAACATGAGTTGCATCTTTGTTAGAAAAACCAATCAGTTTTTTCTCCATAACAAACTCTTCCATTTTCTATTCACTCAAAGCAAAACAAGTTATAAGAAAAGTAACAAAAAGAGAAACAAACACACAAATAAGAGTGTGTGTGTGAGTGAACAAGTTTTGTGTGGGTATATATATTTGGGAGAAAGTGAGAATATAGAGAGAAAAAGAAATAGAGAGAGAGGAGTTTGAAGCCGTCCTTATATTTTTGTTATAACAGCTAATCTGTCACACAAAATCTTCCTTGCGTTTCCAACCTTCGAAGTGTTACTAACAAGAAAACTTTTCTTTCGTTATCTCACGCGCCTTTCATTACAGTTTTTTCTACGCTTTCATCATAACCACACTTTTTAGCACTCTTTCTGTTTCACTTCTACTTCCACTACCTAGCTACTAACTATTTTTTCTGTTTTACTTTTATTATATAATAATAATATTGCTATTAACTGATCGATCAGGTATGCCTTTAATGAGAAGAATATGTTATTATTTTATTTGTTATAAAAGGAATAAGATAAGGATCAATTATGAAGGTTTTTATTTTTAAAAGGAATATGATAAGGGTAAATTATGAAGCTTAACATATTTTGAGTTTATAACAACTTGTATATTTCAACTAGTAATATTTTAGTATAACAACTATTATATTTCAATTAATAATGTTTGAGTATAACATCAATAAGGATTAATTAGTAAATAATTGAAATAAATAATTAATATTTATTTAAATAATTGAAATAAATTATTAAATAAAATAAATAATTTATTTATGGTTGAAATGTTAAATAGTTGAAATAAACTATCAATATTAATATTCATTTAAATAATTTAAATAAACTATTTATAAAACTAAATAATTTATTCATGATTAAAACATTGATAGTTGAAATATTTAATAAACTAATTATTTAATAAAGTACATATTTAAATATTATTTACTAAAATAATTTTAATTTATATTATTTCATACTATTTAATAATTATTTCATATTATATTTTAAATATTAAGTAAATTATTAAATATTGATATTCGAAAAATGTGATTGGATATTTTTAATATTACGTAGTTGAAATATTTTAATTATCATTTAATAAATTATATAATTCAAATTTAATAGTTAAGATATTAAATAGTTAAAATATTTCGTAAATTAATTATTTAATAAACAAAATAATTAAAATATCAATAATTAAAATATTAAATAATTAAAATTTATTAAATATCTCAACTATTTATTAAATATTTTAGTAACTATTAAATAGTTGAAACATTAAATATTATTTCGTAGTTAAAATATTTCAAAGTAAATATGAAGCAATTATTATATAGTTGCAATGTTGTTAATAGATTGAGTGGTTGGCTTAGTGGATAAAAACTTGCTTGTTATTGAAAAGATCATGGATTCATTTCTTTTTGAAATTATATTTTCAATTTTTACATTTTAAGATTCAGGGATCAAAATTGAAAAAAAAAATTAATCTATTGTTAGCCGTAAATTCGATGTTTAAAAGTATAAGAAATGTCAAGAGGATTTTTGAGAAAATATTTGAAGTAGACAAGCTGCCTTCAATGAAGAAGTCAGATAGTGGCGAAATGATTGGGACTTAGAGTTTTTTGAAAACAACTCGAAGTGAATTCGACAAGAATAATTTGAAATAAGGCTGAGAATTGAATTTTGGCCTTATCCGTTCTTTGAAATAGGAAGTGTGGAAGCTTGCGAAGGGCAAAACACATGCAAGCGTGAATATGTTATTTTATGAAGAAAAGACCTTTCGTTACTGTTACTGTCGAAGTAGTATAAATAAGAGTCTTAGCATTAGGATTTTGTATGTTCAACATTGTACCAAACTCATATTCACTTGAAGTATCTAAGTGTTATTGAGAAAATAGTTTTCTGAGAAATGTACGTATGAAGCACCATCTTTACTTTTAATGTCAATTCATTTTCATTAAAGTCATTTACATTCCCTTTAAATTCCAATCGAAACTTCTTTATCTTCCTGTTATTTCCATAAAATGTTTATGCACTGTTCTAGACTGGGCCAATGGCTAGGCACGGCCCGACCCACTCCTGCATCCAGGACGGCCCAAATGCATTGCACAAACAACTTTGGCTAACCGAGGAGAGGATGCATTTCTCTTCTTCCCGACGGTTGAGGACTCGTGGTCGAGTAACCCCAAGGACGACTAGATCACGATTGCCTGTGACTGTGTCCTTGATCACAATAACGACTAGTTTCAGACATCCTTTCTCAGGGTCACGAGCACGAGCTGCTCGTTTCTACTTTCACGCAGAAATCCTGGCAATTACCTATTTTTGGGCCTAATATCCAGGCCCAAAAATAGGAACCAATGGCCAAGCGCTGGGGGAATTATATAAACCCTCACGCTTATGAGGGTCAGGTATTCAATATTCAATCTTCAAACCTTTTTTTCTCTAAAGTATCTCTTTGCAATCTTACTTACTTGAGCGTCAGAGTGCCTTGTAGTTACACCCTCCGACTCCATTATTCCAGCATTACAAACGCATATATCGGTCCATTACAGGCTCTGATCACCGGTAAGATCAGCGGTGCCATCTTTACCCGGAAACCAAAGATCAAAGTAACATTTTAAGATTCCATTCATGGTCGATCAAGATGACGACAACCTTGATCATAAAATCGTCATCTTGCTTGTCCATTTAATGGACGACAACAAATAAATTCCTTTTCTCGAAAGCATTCCCCTGAAGAGAGACAGCTGCACCGCATCACCCTCCTCCGATGATGCAGAGGACGAAGATGTCAAGTTCTTGGAAACTTGCAAATTGAAGAAAGTCCAAGAAGAGGCACCAGTGCATTTCCAACCAGTGACGATGCTGACCAACACAGACCCAGCTATGTTAGCCTTGCTCGCAACACTAAATCAGACCAACACTCTAATCCTCCAGCAGAATCATAGGATTGTAGCATTATAAAAGGGACGTTGTTCAAGATCTCCTCCACAGAGACACCAACGACGTGAGTCTCATAGGCCATTACCGCAACGACCAAGTCTTCGGTCAGCACTAGAGAAACCATAGGCTTCGTTCATCATGAAACATGACCATACTCCACCCCGCTAAGATCGGATCTCCCCGATCACTAAGAAGACCAAAGGCAGTCGACGATCATAAAACCTTTGTTCGCCCTCCCCCAAAATAAAATATCATCCGAGAAGCCTGACTCCTCGTTGAGATGATTCCCTCTGTCGGGGAAATAACAACTATTCTCTGTTGAAATCACCAGGGTAAAGCGACGAGGACGATCCCTCGGTCCGTTATATTGGGCAAACATGGAAATTCCCCTACCTGTCGGGCTGGAAAAGACTCAGAACTTGGGGACGTATAACGAAACTACCGATCCAGACGAGCACATCGATAATATCGATGCACTTCTCGACTACCAAGGCATCAGGGGTTCCATCAAATGTCGACTTCACCCCACCACTCTGAGGAAAGGGGCTATGGCCTGATATAAAAGTCTCCTCGACGAGTCTATTACCTCCTGGAAGAATCTTGGGAAGCAATTTTTCAGGCACTTTAAATCCTTTCGCGGTCACCCAAAATCAGAGGCATCGTTGGAGGAAATCATACAAGGGAAGAACGAATCCCTCCGGGCGTACATAGAAAGATTCAACCGTGAAGCTTTCCAGGTCTCCACAACTGACAATATGAAAAAATATCTGCTTGAGCACGAACTACGTCTCCGCAAGGATTTCTTAAAGGCAGTCGGCATCGAAACATCAGCTACACTGAATGCCCTCCTCCTCAAAGCCCAGGTGTACATCCAGTACGAGGAGAAAGAAGCTACAAATAATGCTTGGGACTCGTAGCACCGAGAGAATTCCAAAGTTTTGAAGCATGATGATTCCTCGACATCTTGTCGGGGAGCAGATAAAAGAAAAGAAGACATGCTCCGTGAATCTCGGGACTATAAGGGGCCAGCTGACCATTTCCACGAATATACACACCAATGGCTGCTTCACGTGAGCACATCTTGATCGGGTGTGAGAACTTGGAATTCCGTCAAGTTGGGGTCTGCTTTCCCATACAAACATCGTCTAAACCAAATACAGACAAGACAAAGTATTGTCGGTTCCACAAGAGCCATGGGCATGTGACCGAAGAATGAGTCCATATCAAGGATGGAATTGAAATTCTAACTCAGGATTGGCACCTAAAGTAGTATATGAAGAAGAAAGAGGGTACTCGTGATGATGCCCCATAATAAAAAAAGGCCGAGGAGGAGAAACCATCCCGCGATGATGCCAGCCTGCAAGTCGCCGTGTGCATTTCACGACCAAAGGATTTCTACATCCCCGATGATGTCGGGTACCCCCTTTACTTCTCAACACACATTCCCTGGAAGACCTTCCCCTCCGTTATGGTCATATCAAGTGAGGGATTCAATAAATTAATTGCGGGTTCAGTAAAGAGGAAGTTTGAACAACTGATCGACATAAGCTCAAACAAAAACTCCACCCTCGACAAGTTTCAAGGAAACTCTACCCCCGTCGCGTTCTACCATGAAGAAATCCCCGGTGGATCACCCAAATCAACCATCCCTATGCTCGTGAGAGCACAGATGGCAAACTTCGACATCTGACAGATTCTGGTCAACTAGGGAAGCTCAGTCGACATTATGTACTCCCAGCAGTTGTCCACCTTGCAGCTCGATGAGACGCATATAACGCTCTATGTGGGCTCAAATTTATAAGGCTTCAACGACGCAGTCATAAAACCATGGGGCTACATCGAGATAATAGTCACCTTTGGAGCGGCAGAAACGATTAAATCTATCAAGGTCCAGTTCTTGGTAATATATTACCCATCTCTATACCAGTATATCCTAGGAAGGCCAACTCTGGCCGAATTAATAATTGTGCCTTCCACTGTGCACTTAAAAATAAAGTACTACACCTCAACGGGACTAGTTGCCAGTCTCCACGGGGATATAGAGATCGTGAGGAGATGTTTTGAGGCAGCCTCAAAGGGATTAAATGC